AAAATAACTTTGAAATTTTGTTTCTTGTACCTAACATCTACGTACCTCAGAGACGCTACTCATTACAACTTTATCTAAGGAATTATCTAAAACACAGTAAGTAATATCAGGTTATTCTAAGTTTTTACTTGCTGAAGATACCTTTGCTGGGCCAGAAACAGGACGCAACAGCAGTGGTCTGGATCGCTTTTTGCTGTGTTCCAGATTCTTCTCGTGCTCAGTTTTCTGGACACTGTTCACTTCACATGGTCCGTTTCCTGTGAACTGAAGTAAATAAAGAATGATTTCAATGTTCTCTTCTCGATCGGTGCAAATAAAGTACCCTATATATCAGAACAGGACAGAGAACATGCAGTTCAGTCACCTGTTCTGCAAAATTCCAACCAATGAAGGGGAGCAAAGTCCATCTACTGGCTTTATGTTTTTCCATCATGTTTTGCATTCTAAAGCTTCTTTATGTATTCTACATACAAACAGAGAGTATTCAATATTCTGCCTTGCTGTAAGCATACACATACCAAAGACCTTTTAGCCTCCGGGAGGAACTGTCCAAACTCAGAAAGCAGATCCTCCTGCCCCCTGAACAGGTTTGCTACTTCAGTAAACACTTCTTCCTCTGACATGCCCCGAAAGGGTCGGCCTTTAGTGTTCAGCTGTTCTTTCTGAAAAGATAGGCACAGATGTTAAGAGTTGAAAACACACCTCACTACATAAGAAAACACATCAACTCGGCCAAAATCTTTATGCTACACAAACCTGAAATAACTATCAGATAGCCCAACGTCCTGACAGCTCATCCTTTCACAAAGAATATCACTAAATCAATGAAGGACTAGTAAAGACAGATCTAGATACAACCCCTTCACACCTCAGACCCTGAAAAGTTCTACAGTTTTCACACTTTTGTCATTTCACGTGAATATCTGAGGCAATTCTTGTCCAAAGGCTAGTGCTTGGCAACTGTGTAACCCTGTTCCACAGGCAGACATTTCATTTGACAATAACTACTCAAACAGCTGCTGTGCAAACCCACAATCTCTTACGTGGAAGACTTTTTACCTGGTAAGTATGTAGAATTTCTAAAAAGGATCTGTAAATTTCTGGGTGGTCAAGGAAACGCGTTTTGATCTTATTCACGTAACTGATAGCATTATTGAACTCTACAGAATCGGACTCCAAAGGAATTTGGGATTTATCTTCTTTGTACGGAAGCTGTTGCCTAAACTCCTCGGAACAGTCACTGTGATTGTGCGAATTCTCCTGGGAGTAATGCATCAACAGCCCGCTGCCAGGGAGAGCGCTGGGAACAGGCTCTGAGGGCACCTAGTGGCGTAAGACACACAAGACAGTCACTTGTACAGAAACCAGTGCAAGTTCAACAAGAATCTCGCATCAGGGTCTTCAAGCTGTTTAGCTAAAAACGATTACCATATGAAGAAGAAAGAAAAAAAGATTCAATTAGCCAATAAATTTCCCTGCCTATTTTTATTAGCTGGTTTATTAACACCACCAGTTAAAAAACATCCCGTAGGTCATATGTGGCTTATGAGCCATCTGACTCATTACTGCTTTTGACTGTCACTGCACTATCCACGACACTTGCGAGTGGGGTACCAAACAGCACACACCACAGTTTCTGTTACCACTGTTTTCAGAAAAACTGTCAGTTTTAAGAAACATATTAAAACGTAAGGCTCTTAAAGCTGCTAAATTTCTCAGTAACAGAGAGATTTAAAGGAGCTGAGATCTGAAAAACATTTACTGCTACTAACTAAAGCACAAGTTCATCAGTAGAATTCAGGTAATAGCTGTTTCAGCCTCCACAACCACACAACAACAACAAAGAAGCAGAGGCCAATGTTTCCATCTGTATTACAGCAGATGTCCTTCATTGCAGGATATTGGCAACTGCACGGCAGTACCTGACATGTATTTTTTGCCTATTGCCTAAACACATTTCCCAGTTTCTCAGCAGAAGACTAGAAACGTGTCTCTTCCAGGATCTCTTTCTGAAATTTGTCACTACACACATCATGTATTGAGAATCTATATAAATATGCCAAGCCAATTACAATTTCAGTTTTCAAATCTGACTGAAGTATTTGGAGTTGAAATGGCACTTCATGCAGGAATATCATTCTTGTGTAAGCTAAACTAACAACTGGTTTGAGAAGAAATATTTAAATTTATATTATTACAGAATGGTTTAGGTTTGAAGGGACCTTAAAGCTCCCCCAGTCCCCCCCCCTGCCCTGGGCAGGGCCACCTCCCCCCAGCCCAGGTTGCTCCAAGCCCCGTCCAACCTGGCCTTGAACACCTCCAGGGATGGGGCAGCCACAGCTTCTCGGGGCATCCGAGGCCAGGGCCTTACCACCCTCAGAGTGAAAAATTTCTTCTTAATATCCAATCTAAATCTCCCCTCTTTCAGTGTAAAACCATTCCCCTCTCATCCCATGGCTCCCCTCCCTGATCCAGAGTCCCTCCCCAGCCCTCCTGGAGGCCCTTTAGGCACTATAAGGGGTTCTAAGGTCTCCCCGGAGCCTTCTCCAGGCTGAACCCCCCCAACTCTCCCAGCCTGTCCTCATAGGAGAGGGGCTCCAGCCCACTATACCCATTATCATAGACTTTGAAATCCATGTAAAATCTTTAGCAACATGCAATATACATAAATCTACATAGCCTAAACTGTACAAGAGGTGTGTATGGCAACACACGTAACAGAATTTATCTAGAGAATATAAAGTCTGTAACCTACCTGACTATTCAAAGGTGACTGTATACTTAACTTCCCGTTCTTTGGAATTTCTATCCTGTAGCCCAGAGGGAGGAAAGCATTGAATCCTACAATGAGGTCAGGATGCTCATGGAACAGCTGTGAAACACGTCGGATTACTCCAGGTGTGTCAATGCTAAAATTGAGAAGGGTTTGTTACTTGTGTCCAAAACAGAAATACAAGTTAAGCCTAGAAAATTGCAGAGGTATGTGACGCATCTGGCTTCATATAGATGCAGTTTTCAACAAGCAAGTTTGGGAACCTCAGCCCTAGAAATTAGCCCAAGCAGAGGGAATGACCAGTGCAGGCTCATACTGGGAGCGTTATCCCCAGAGAAGAGATATGAGTGTGCAGGTTACCCAAAACGGGTGAGGCAGACATCACCTCTAGGGCTGACAGGTCACAGAGAGGCTCTGCACCTAAGCATCTGCACTTATTTTCAAGATCTGCGTTTCAGAGCAGGAAGTAAAAATGGATATGCCTTTTCCTGTGGATTTCACCTTTGGAAAACGATGGGATGGACGTGGACATTCCACCTCCAGTGTCTAGTGACTGCACTAGGAGGGAACAGGCCAGCAGGGTGGACTGCGTTGTGTGTCTGCAGAGATGGAATGACAGAGTGAAGGCAGGGGGACCCCCGAGAGGCAGAGAGACCCCTGCAGAGGCTGAGGAACTCCCTGGAGCAGCCCTGGGGCGAAGGACCTGGGCTTTACCTCTGGCTCTTGAACTCTTTCATGATCTCCAAGAAGCCGTTGTAGGTGGCGGGGTCGCTGCCAAAGCGGATCTTCACCTGGTCTAGGTAGGAAAGCGCATCCTCCACCTGCAGGGCGAGAAGGTGGGTGAGGCCCAGAGAGGGGGAACAGGCCCTGGGGGTCCTCACGGCCCCAGAACGGGGACAGGGGCACCCCATGGCACTGAGGGGGGTGGGAACAGGCCGCGGGGGGAGCCCCACAGCCCCGGGGAAGGGGGAGCAGCCCGGGGAGGGGCACACGGTGCCAGACAAGGAGGCTCTGAGGAAGGCAGGCCCCGGGGGGGGACCGCGGTACGGGGGAGGGTGGCCCTCGGGGTGCGGGAGGAGGATGGCAAGGCACGGAGGGGGGCACGGTACCGGGGAGTGGGGGGACATGTCCCCGGGGAGGATGTCCCCGGTACCAGAGGAGAACAGCCGGGCTGGGGAGGGGGGACACGGTACAGGGGAGGGGGAAAACAGGCCCGGAGGAGCCTCACAGTACCGGAGAAGGAGAGCGGAGGCCCCAGGGGACCCCACGGCACCGGGGGGAGAAGGCCCCGGAACACCCCACGGTACCAGCGGGGGGGACAGACGTCGGGGAGCGGGTTCGGCACAGCCGACAGGGCAGAGCAGGTCACGGCGGGGCGGGCAGGGCCGGCCGG